GGTTAAATTTAGGGTAAAAAAATTCAACCCGAAAAATATATATAATTTTATCTTATATATTTAGGGATAATTACAATAATAACTCTCTATATATAATTTTTTTCAATTAAGTCGCTATTTTTATTGAATAAATTTTTTTGATTCGGGTCGGGTCGGGTTCTAAGTCATATATTCGGGTCGAGTCGGGTGAAACCTTAATTTTGTCGGATCGGGTCGGATCACAGGTGGAGGACCCTTTCTTCTCGGGTCGGATGGCTCAAAAACCCGACCCGACCCATTGTCATCCCTAGTTGGATCTGGGTCTTATTAACTCAACCGAAAATATGTACTTTTTATTTAAACCCGACCTGATCCAAAAAAAAATCCTATTCAATTTCGATCTGATTCGATCCCATTTAAAATAAAGATTTAATTAAATAAAAAAAAATTTTAAGAAAATTATATTATTATCCTCAGGGGTCAAATTAGAGTTTCTTCACCCTTCACCCAAACCCGACCCAATCTTTCCCCTTAAAAATACAACCTGACCAAACCCAAACCCGAAATTATTTTAGAAAAAAATCTGACTCTATCGAATCAAATCAGAACCTACCAGATTGAGATTAAATTACTAGTTGTAGTAGTAGGTTTTCTTATTTTTTTCCATCATTTTTCCCTTCTGTATACATAAAAGATTTTGTGTAGGAAGATGGATCACAATAACTTCATATTCTTTTTTTTTTTGATAAGAATGGAAGGCCTCGCTAAAAACCTCCTTCTTGATTAAAGGAACTTAGTGATAAGCTCCTTAATCAGCGGAAGGAGGAAAAGAGTGCCTTAAGAACTTTATTGATAATATAATCTTACATAAGATTTAAACACTACATCACAATACATCCCATAAGACTTAACAACAATTTTATAATAGCCCATATCGCTGGACCAGAAAATCCAGTAACAGGTCCTTACAGTCAACCTATCCCTTTCTTAGCTAAGCTATCAGCCTCCCCATTGCTCGCTCTTGGAATCCACCTCACTGAATGAACCTTGCCATTTGAAAGAGTCAAAATCTGCTTAACCAAAGACAAGTAAAAAACAGGAGCCAAAGCCGGTGATTTAATCCATTCCACTACCGACTTGCAATCACTCTCAACAATCAATCTTCCAACCGAAACCCAAACTGAAGCCAGAAAAATTTCAATACCCCTTTTAATAGCCTTTAATTCAGCTAGCGGAGGAGTAACTTGGTCCACCTTCTCTGAAAAAGTCAAAAGCGTGCAACACTCCGAATCTCTCAATATACCTCCTATGCCTCCACCCGAGCCTCCAAGCCTAACAGCACCATCAACGTTCATCTTAAGAAAATCAACAGGGGGGGAAACCAACGCAGGTTATGACCAACTCTGTCTAAAGTTAACGAAAACCCATCTGCTAGAGATGGATTACCAATCAGCAAATCCTCCTGAATATTAACCATAGGAAACTTTGCTAAAAACCATTTTGATAACCTGAATCTAACTGTAAAGAACAAAGACATGCTGTCCAGGTTAGAACCTTCGAACACTATAGCATTCCTGGCTTTCCAGATTGACCAGAAGATAACACCTGGAATAAACTTCCATATCGTCGAGTTTCCCCTCAAATCACACCAGGAACTAAGCAAAGCAGGAGGGTCTTGAGGAAGAACAAACAAAATATCCCAGAAGCTAGCTATTTTATTCCACAACTTCCAAGCAACAAACAGGAAATAAATAAGTGTTGAACTGTTTCCTCGTGAATCTTGCAGAAAGGACACTGTATATCCTCCCCTAAAGAAACTCCTCTCTTAACCAACTCAGCCTTAACTGCCAATTTCTGATGTGCCAGTTGCCACAGAAAAGCTTCCACTCTCGGTGGAGCCAAACCCTTCCAAACTCCTTGTAGCCACACATCATTACTCCCTACCTCCGAGCCAATGTTTTCCCTGCATGATTTAACCGAAAACAGTCCGTCTCCACTAGCAGACCAAGAAAGAGAGTCCTCTATCAGCTCTGACAGTTTGACATCCTTAATTTTTATCATCAAAGCTAACCACTGGTCCAATTCCCAATCACTCAGATTCCTTCTAGTTTGGACATTCCACTCCCAACCACTCGGTCCATAGCTGCCAAACTCAACAATCTCCCCCCCTTTATTAATGGAAAGCACGTAGATTCTAGGAAAAAGTATTTTTAGAGGGACCTCATCCGCCCAAACATCATTCCAAAAAGAAATTGATTTCCCATTACCCACTTGCAGCTTCGAATTCAATCTAAGAAAGTTCCCTACCGAATCATTCTTAGAAAAATTATTAGCAATGCCTCTCAAGATCCATGAAGATTTCGGAGAAGTAACCTTTCCAATAGACATAGTGTTCCAACTGATCTTTTGCTTACTACACAACACCGATTTCCAGAGAGAGTTTTTGTCATTGGCAAATTTCCACACCACTTGCCTAGTAAAGCCCGGTTAGTAAGATTCAAATCAAGGACACCTAGTCCACCACAGTTCAAAGGCCTGCAAACCGTGTTCCAATTTACCCAGTGAATCCTCCGCTTATCCCCCTTCTCACCCCAAAGAAAGTTAGCCATTAAGGAATTAAGCTTCTTTCCGATATTGCACGCATTTTGAAAAGAGATAGAAAGAAAATCGGCAAAGAGGTTAGCACCGACTTCAACAGGACTGTCCTCCCAGCCAAAGACAGACAAGACGCTTTCCACCCCGCAAGTTTGGAACTAAAATTCTTAAAGACCGGATCCCATAGAGCCTCTGTGTTTTTCCTTGCTCCCAAGGGAAGTCCCAAGTATTCTGTAGGTAGAAAACCAACCGAACAGCCCACTTGTTCTGCCCAATCCGATAACACTCCCTCTTCCAAATTGATACCGAACAGCTTACTCTTTGCTAAATTGAGGTGTAAACCTGTCATAATGCTAAAGATCCTCAGCACCCTTTTTACATTCTTGATCTGATTAATGGAGGCTTGACAAAAAATTATTAAATCATCGGCGAATTGTAGATGGGACAGCCTGGTTGAATTTTCAGAATTCCCCATAATAATACCCTGGAATAAACCCCTCTCGATTGCTTTAGAAAGCATCAAATGTAACATCTCGCCTATAATGTTGAACAAAAGTGGAGAAAGACTGCAGCCTTGTCTAAGACCTTTTTCCATTGCAAACTCCTCAGAAGGAGACCCGTTAACAAGAATCGAAATAGAGGCTGTAGACAGACATTGAGTAATCCACGATGACCATCTGTTTCCAAATCCCATTTCTTTCATTGCTCTAAACAAAATAGGCCATTCCACAGTGTCGTATGCTCTTCGGAAGTCAACTTTAAAAACTACCCCTTGCAGTCCTTGTTTTCTCCAGAAATCAATACCTTCGTTCGCAATGAAGGCGCAATCCAATAACTGTCTCCCCGGAATAAATGCAAATTGGGATTGACTTATTATGTCGCCAACACAGCCACTCAACCTTTTAGATAATACTTTTGAGAGAATCTTGTATAAACTACCTACAAGGCTGATTGGTCTAAAATCCTCCACACTTTCCGGATTAGTCTTCTTCGGAATGAGTGTAATAAACGCGTGATTAACTCCGTGTTCCCATTTTCTACCTCTGAAAAAATCCTGGAAAAACTTCAATACATGTTCCTTTAAACCCGACCAACATTTCTTGAAGAAGCCCATGGTAAAGCCATCCGGTCCTGGTGCTTTAGAACTGTCCGAAGAAGCTATCGCTTGCCATATTTCTTGTTCCGTGAACTGCTCCTCAAGTTTTAAAGATTGGAACTCTGATAGCATAGCAAACTCCAGGGATAAATCCTCTACACCCAGCGTTGACATAGAACTATAGGATTCCTTAAAAAAGGCCGCAATATGCAACTTAATAGATTGCGGATCTACAACTTCAGAACCATTGATCTTCAAACTAGTAATTTCATTTCTCCTACTCCTGTTTAGAGCAGTTAGATGAAAAAATCTAGTTTTTCTATCTCCATCTTTAATCCATTTCGCCCTTGATTTCTGAAACCAGATGCTTTCTTCAATCCTATACAACCTCCATAGATCCGATCTGAACTGTAGCAGATGCCCCCAGTCCTGTTGGCATAGGTCCCCAGCTTGAGCTTTAAACTCAAGATTATTTATCTTCAATTCCAGATCTGCTATGGACTCAGAAATTCCATTGAACTTTCTGCCCGACCAACTTCTGATCGCTATTTTAGTTTCTTGAAGAATGCTGAAAATGCCCCTACTCCTTCTACTCCCCCTCGAAACATCCATGGATGATTTAACTATATCCTCAAACCCTTTTTCCTCTAGAAGATAGTTAAAAGCGTTATATCTTTTAAAAGCGTTATATCCTCAAACCCTTTTTCCTCTAGAAGATAGTTAAAAGCGTTATATCCTCAAACCCTTTTTCCTCTAGAGTTCACGTACTGTTACTGTCCTTTTGTCTCTTATTATCGTTTAAAAGCGTTATATCTTTTCCGGATATCTTTCGACTTACTTCTATCTTTTCGAGTTCTATATTCTTTGACTTGCTACAACATCTTAACATGATCAATAACAAATCCACTTGATCTACAATTCATTATTTGATAACAATTTTATTTAACTCATCAATCTATGAAGTCATGACCCTACATTTGACGCCAACACTAAAGATTACTATAAGATATCTCATCCAAGATTAAAGGGGAGAGACTTCTTTATCTTCTTCTACTCAAACTCTATGAATAGTCATGAATTACCATGAATGTCGGGGGATAAATGTTCAACGTCAAATGCTTAAGATTGAGATTATTCTTTAAACAAATATTATCTTGTTGTTATCCCAGATTAATGAAAGAACTAAGAGAAGTGAACTATATAGGAGTATTACAAACCAAATGTTATCAACAAAAGTTAACATAGAGAGAAAAAATTTATATACAAGGGTTAAACGACGTGTGAAAGTAATTAGAAATGCTACATGAAATCTCAAAACAACCAAATTCTACATAGAAATCATCAAACAGATTGCTAAATTCCAAGTTCTTATCATTTAGCTTTCAAAAGAAACAAAAACCAGACACAACTCCACACGGTATCTTTTATAATTTCCATTAACAGCAAAGAAGTGTTCGACTTATTAAAGCAAATATCATGCTACAAAGAAACCACAAGAGTCCAGAAAATACACGCCTTCCAAGCATCAGTATAGAGCCTCATTCCATCTTTCCAATCCCATGAGACATGTTATAGATCCCTTGCCCCTGAAAAAACAAGAAGCACACAACAACATGATTTACGGTTTCTCAATCTTTTCTTCGTCAAATTCGAGCCTAAAATTGTTAGACGTGATTAAGTTGGAAACAAGCTCACTATTAAGAACAAGGCACTTGCAGCCAGAGCAGCAGGAATTGCAACGGAAGAGATCTTATCGTAAGGTCCTTTCAGGTAAGTGTGCTTGTGGATGCTTTGGAAATATTTCTGATACTCGATAAGCTTTTCCCTAGGTCTGAATGGTGGCTCCGACATCCTGATTCACATGGTAATAATACAGTTATAGGTTATCCGAAGAATTTCACACAAGCAGGCAAGCATTTAACAACTTAAAAGGCGTTTGATACTCTTAACAAACCTCATCATATCAGTGATATTTCCTAAACACATATCAGTCCAACAGAAACACTTGGCTGAACACATAATAAATGGCTTCAATTAACAGTTCTACTATACCTAATCAAACCAATTCCAAATAGTTAATCTAGACAATTCGAATAAAAATTAGTCGATTCCTTTGTTGTAAATCTATACCTTCTCAAGTCACAAAGACCAGAGATCGACTCCGATAAACCCAAACTACTTACCCAAAAAAATCAAGGAAACGTTTTCCAAGCAAATCGAATAAGCAGATTCAAACAACAGATATAACATTAAATTACACATCTTCCAATATCAGATTCAGAGGAGGAAAAGAACGAACGTAACTAAAACAAAATCAAACCTGATTCTTTCCTTCTTAGACGATGAAAACCCTAGAATTTCTTGACGAATTTGAGCTAATCGGGGCCGATTAAGTTCTGGAAAATGGTCTTTATATTATTCGGGGAAGACGACGAAAAATTCGCCCAATATGGGCTGAGATTAACTGGCCCATTTAAGTAACTCCCCGACCTCATTTTTAAAAATATAATTTTATGTGATCTTTAAATGAAAATATTATTTATATCACTTATAAATTTTAAAATAAAAATTTATAAAATAGCATGCTAAGTCAAAATTTAATTATTTTTTTATAGCAATCTAACCACTAAATTAGTTTTTTTTACCTATTGAATCGAACAAACCACTGATTTTTTATTGAAATATTCTAACCCATTTGTCAAATTTTAACAATTAATTGTTCAGATTAGTTCTTAACTTATTATTTTATATAAGTAACTATTAGCTTAAGAAAACACAAGGACCATATAGGGAAAGATTAAAAATATGACCAAGAAATTCGAACAAAGATAGATATAAACAGATTCGATCGCATTGACAAATGAAAGACTACCGAAAAATCGTAAATCAGACTCAAGAGACATGAAAAGCTATCAACGAATGCAAATCGGGTACCCAAATCCAATCCGAGTGTCCAAAATAGGGAAGATCAACAAGATATTAGATAAGCACCATCTTAATCAGTCGACGCGATGTCAAATCACCCTTAGAAAAAAAGATAAATGAAAAAAAACGAACAAACAACCAAAAAAAACATGCAAAAAATAATAAGAAAACGTGTCAATATTTATTGAAAATCAAAAAATAAAAGAAAATAGATATACGATATAGAAAAAAAGAAAATAAAGAATATCGGCGGTCGACAACCAACATTAAAATTGATGTCGTCGCCGACAAACAAAGATGAAAAAGAAAAGAGATGAACGGCACACCACTGGAAAAAAAAACTAGGTGAAAACTAGTATTATTTAAGATTTGGATAGGGGCATTGATCGTCAAAGATTAAGACGGGGCATTGATCAGATGGTTCATCTCATCGAGATTGCTTTAGGCACTTTAGCATATGCTATGCATCAATGAAACTATGTGCTTTACTGGTACAAGACAATATATTCGAAGATGGATACGAATGCATGGAAACAACTTTAAAACAATGGCGACGTCAGCTCGACAGTTACGAAAGTACTTAAATATTCTACAAGAAATTAGGCATCATTATGAATCAAAGCAGACAACATAATCTTGTGATCAATGGACTACTTTCACCTAGAATGCACAAGAGCTTTTACTGCATAACATGAATAACAACACAACCTACCCATTCTCAACCATATGCTTGTGTGACAAAACCAGCAAATATGGTTCCACAGTATCCTGAAAAAATTATCATCTTCGTTTGCTAGGGTTTTTATTATTGGTGTGGGGGGCCTGAGATTGAATTAGTCGATCGTCGCCTTTTGCAGTCGACGAAGCTGCACGACCAAAACCCTATGAAATAGTGATCGATCGACGACGAATTGACATTTTATACTCTACAAATCCTAGGTTGAAAATCGCGATTCCGATGGCAAATCGACGACAACATATGACTAGGAGGATGGTAGGGGTCACGTCAGATGCGGTTGTTGTGGCTAGAAAAGATGGTAGCGGTAGATTAAGGTTAGTATTTGAGGATTTTATAGATTTGGGGATTTTATGGATTTAGGGGGCTACTTTATAATTTAAGAGAAATTATGGTTTTTTATAAATATAATAATATTTTTAATATTTTTTAAAAAATAAATTTCAAAATCAACATATTATAACACGTGTCACTTAACGGTGGAAATTAATGTCGTTGATGGCCCAGGCACCTAGATGAGTCAAAAAATAGTTTAGGTATCTCTTTGGGAAAAAATGGTATAGTTTGGGCACTAAGTTTGATATTAAACCTTATAAAAATTAAAAACTTTAATTATATATGATCGAAACTCATCGAATTCAAATCTCATATTCATTCTTAAATATACGATTATCACTTGACTTCCTAAATAGCCTGAGCAGCCACCTTCACCTACTTGAAGGTGGGGATGATAATTAAACACGAAATGATGGGTTCCGATCCGATTCGATAGTATAGATTTTATAAAAAAAATCGAGTTCGGATTGGGTTGGGTACGTTTTTTAAGGGGGTGAGGTCGGACTGAGTTCGACAGGAGGGTAAAAAACTCCTATCCAACCCAAGGATAATAATATATATATTTTTAAAAAATGAATTATTTTTTATTAAATATTTATTTATACCAGGTCTGGCTGGATTGGATTTATATTCTAAAAATTCGAGTCGAATCGAAATCAGGTAGAAGATATATATTTTCATATCAGATCAGATGAAGGATATAAAATTTTCAAGTCAGGTTTGAATGGAGTATACATATTTTCAAGTCAAATCGGATTAACCAAAACCCCGACCCTACTTGAAGGATAAACCTCTAATCGTCATCGTACTTAAATTAGCTTGGAATACATCAGTTTACCTTTTGGGGGAGGAAAGGAACGTGAGGCTTTTTGGTCGTTGGGAGGAAGAGACTTTGAAGTTAGACGTAAATTACATGGCAAAAGTATATAGATAGACCCTGTTAATGCTTGTATTTCTATAGTTGGGGGTATACTTGATTGGATATCAATTTTTGTACGATACTTTCCCTTCTTTGCAACAGCTTGCTACTTTTCCTTCGGATGTATACACCATCCGGAAATTATTCGTATGAAAGAAAACAGATTGGTTTCAAATTTGTGATCAAACAAATCCTTGCAAAATATGTGGATTCTCTACGATTACGTTGCGATTTCCTATTGTGCTGTAACGTAGTCGGTGTAAACGGAGCACCAAGTCCAGGCAGCAAAAGTATAATTCAAGTCATTCATCCTTTTGTATCACCTAATGCCTTAACCTCATTTACTTTAGACATCATTCGGAAGCTGCAGACTACAAATCAAGGACCCAAGTCGACGAAAATGCTTTTGTTCAATGAAAAAATTGAACAAACTTAACCTATAGGATGCACAATAACAAATCTAACAAGAATAACAATATGCATCTACTATTCTCTACCACATACTTACCTGATAATACTTGCATTAGACCAATAAATAAGGCTCCGCAGTATCCCAAAGGCCTGCAGCCTTGGGTACCGTCTCCGGAGATTCTCAAACCCTGTCCTTGGAGAGTAAAAACTAACAATTCCCAACAGGCTTCAGCTGTTAATCCTGGCATGAAACACCTCAAGCCTAGAATAGGAAATGTAACTTACTAACAGAAAACTACCAGTGATATTCAGGCGGCCATGGCATTATCCATAGCTAAAGGGTGATAAGTATAAAGAGTCATTGAGCCAAACTCAAACATAACCACCGGCAATCCAAAAATCCACAATTAGAACTGAAATGTTAATGTCATAAGCTACATTTCCTAAAACAAAAACTTAAAGATCCAAGAGGAGCTAAAACCATGTTCAACTACACATCCAGAAACATAATGAAACACGATTCACCAATGCTATGCTTTGCCTGCTTAGTCGAAGAGACTGAAACCCATATCCTGCATCGACACGAAATTTCATTAGCGAAGAACACACCAAACAAGAATCAATTACAGTGTGAAAAGTAATTACATCGTCGGATTCTTCCTTCTCCTCGACCTTCTCCTCTTTCTTGGCCTCAGCAGCAGGCGCATCACCGCCGGCAGCGGCAGTAGGAGCCGAGACAGCAACAGCTCCACCGCCAGAAGGAACTGAAGCCAACTTCTCCCTTCCACTAGCAATTAGCTCGGTGATATCTTTTCCTTTAACTTCAGACAATAGCAACTCTATCCTATCATCATCAGCCTCAGCTCCAACTACAAAATTAAAAAAAAAAAACCCCGTAATTTCCATTTCACCATTTTCCCTACTATTTGATTAAATTACGATTCTAAATTAATATAAAAAAATTCAAAATCCGAAAGTGGACATCAAACTAGAAATTGAGAATACAAAATGTCGACATCAAACAGGTTTCAGAAACTAAGTAACGATAGTGAGAAAAATGACCTGAACCGAGAATATTCTTCAAGTCACCGGCGGAAGGGGAAGAGTTTCCTCCCAGTACGGCGAGCAAGTAGGCGGCGACCACCTTCATTTTTTGCTTGATAAAAGAACGGTGAGGATGGAGCCGCGGAGAAAGCTAGCGTTCGCAGTGAAAGGACTAGAATGTTGATGTTGTTGCTAGGGTTTTTAGTTATACTGAGGGCCGCCTGACTTCATTTCGGCCTGCATGCCCTGCATTATGATTTGATAGGCTATTTTAGGCCCATTTTCCAAGTTTCAACTAAGCATAAATGGGCTTAAGCCCATATACGAATTGTTATACATTTTTTTGGATAAATCTACAATGTATACAATTCAATATCTGTTCAAAGATTCTTAACAATTTGGAAGTGAACACTCGTACCCTGATATATGCGGTGTCTTTCATGTAACATAAAAAAATATTAATCTGAAAATAGTGTTAATTTAAAAATTAGTTCTATGTAGGGTGATATTTAGTCGTTTATGTTGGGCACATTTTTATCATAAATAAATAGATCGTATTTTGGTCATAACAATATACTAATATTTTTTTTTTGAATTAATCATTGATATCCGATCTATTGACCGACTAATCCAGATCGGGTACTGCAGAGGCGAGGGCTACCCTCTCAACCTAGTTTGCTCCATTCATAAACTCCAAGATTCAAACCCCTGACATTCCTTAAGAGATCTAGTGTCGCATTCCACTATACCAACTAGTTGGTTACTAATATTATTTTTAATTAAGATTTTATTTTGCTAAACGGAGATTTTAATTTGTAAAATAATTAGATAAGATCTTAAATCTATACTTCCAACAATAAAAGGCACACGACAAGCTCATCTCTCTCCCTCTCTTTGTTAGTTTAATCTAAATGAGATTCCAAGAATTCCCATATAGTTTAGTTTAATTAATTACTATTAATTTATAAATTTAGACCAAGAAAAATCATCATTTATGAATTAAAAAATAATGGAAATTGAAGGAAAAAAGATTGTCCCAATCATTTGACTCAAAAATATTGAAAAACAATTCTCAAATCAACGTCAAAGAAATAATCAAAATAGTTGAGGGAAAATAGTAATTTGATCGATGTTTATGTTGAGGCCAACTCTACATTTGTCTTATTAAATTTAGCAATCAACTCTAGCAAATTATGTCCCACCTAAGACCCAAAAAGCTTGGGAAAATTGTTGCACATTCATACATTTAAAGCATTAATATTATCTATAGAAATATAGAGAAACGAAAATATATTATCAATATAAAATATAAAATTTATTTGAAATACATGATGATTTTAAATTTGCAAAGAGGAATTCAGGGACGGAGTTAGGATTAAATATTGACAATGTCGAAATATTAAAGTTTTTTTTTTAAAAAAAAAAAGTACAATGACTTATTAGGTATTTAAACTTAAAATTCATAAGACAACATTTAATTGGTCTAATATTTAAACTTATAATAACCTAAATTGTTATTAGACTAAAAAATTGAGAACATGAGAACATCTTTGTTTAGTTCGGCCCATTCTTGATTAAATATTTAATAAATCTTCATATTTTTTAAATCTGAATATTATTTATTTTTACATGAACTAAAATACTATTATACCAAAATTAATCAAATATATAAATTTTTTATAGGGACCGAGATGTTTTTGGGCCCCAACAGATCTCCGCCTTTGCCCTCAATCCATCCCTAAAAGATATGATAGGCCCTCTTTAGGTCGAGATAGCTGACTCAAAGGATATTTTAGACAAGAGGTCTCATGAGAGTAGTTATTTTTATTGAATAAACAAAAAAAATAACACAATCACAATTGTAAAAAAATACTATAAAAATAAAAGACAAATCATGTAAAACTATTTTAACTTTACATTACTTTATGATCGTTAGATGAGTGAAAGTAGACGAATAGAATTAACAGTAGAATATGAGAATATATTCACTGGGAAAATAAAAATAAAAAGATAATCTCAACGGTCTATTTTTATTCATTTAATGATCCTAAATTGATTTTAAACTACAAGTTTTTTTTTATATTTTAGAAGTGAATTCTAACCCCTATTTCTTGATCTCTCTCGTACACACGCGCACGTAAATACATACATATATATATATATATATATATATATATATATATATATATATATGGGCCATGCTCATCTTTCACCAAGTAAAATTATTTTAGTTTTATACAGATTTAAGATTATTAGACGAGTAAAAACCAATGATGGGATTAAAAGTAAGAAATATATATATATATATATATATATATATATATATATATATATATATATATATATATATATATATATATATATATATTTTCCCTAATTAATCATTATTTGTTTTTGTACATTGAACTTGAAAGTTAGAAACCCCAAAATCAAATTAATAAAATGCAATAGGTAAATATATCCCCACAAGAAATTCAAAGCGTATATATATATATATATATATATATATATATATATATATATATATATATATATATATTTTGAATTTGATGGGTTGGGAGATGGTAGACAAGCAAGCACGTGGTTGAATGGCCGCAAATTATACAAGAAAATAAGCCGCTGAAAGTCCAGAAAGTGACCTACCCAATTACTGCGATTTCTTTAATCTCCATTAAATGCTGTCGTTTCAAGTTTGCACACGCGTTGTTCATGCCACAATACAAACTCTTTCTCGCCTGCCAAACACTAATATATAACAAGGGTATCGATTACATCACCCCACTTCCATTATTCAACGCTCATTTGCTTCACTTTTCTTTTGATCTTTTGCTACCCTTTTACCAGTTTTCTTGATCTTTTTTTTTGTTCTGATGTCAACGGACTCAGATTCTTCTTCCCTGTGGTTTTGCTACGTTTGCAGTGTTTTTTCCTTCATGTTCTTCTCTTTCACCCTCTTGTTGTTGTTGATCTTCGTTTTGAGATTGAAGCCATGGTGTAAATGCGAAATCTGCAAAGCTTTTCTCACTTCGAGTTGGACCAAAGATTTCGATAACCTCTGTGATTGGTACACTCATCTTCTTAAAAAATCACCCACTGGATCGATCCATATCCATGTCCTCGGCAACATCGTCACCGCCGATCCAGAAAACGTCGAACACATTCTCAGAACCCGATTCGAAAACTATCCGAAAGGGAAACCTTTCTCGGCTCTTCTCGGTGATCTGCTCGGCAAAGGTATTTTCAACGTCGACGGCGATTCGTGGAAGTTTCAAAGGAAAACAGCTAGCCTCGAGCTCGGCAGTGTATCGATTCGAATGCATGCGTTCGACATCGTCGAATCGGAGATTCGGACCAGACTCATCCCGCTTTTATCATCTTTCTCTGGTGAACAACGAGTCTTGGATTTACAAGACGTGTTTAGAAGATTTTCATTCGATAATATCTGCAAGTTTTGCTTGGGTTTCGATCCCGGTTGCCTCGAGTTGTCGTTGCCGGTGTCGGAATTCGCCGAGGCTTTCGATACGGCGTCGAAACTGTCGGCACAAAGAGGGTTGGCGCCCTCGTCTTTGATATGGAAAGCCAAAAGGGTGTTGAATTTGGGGTCTGAAAAGGAGCTTAAACAAGCTATAAAAATGGTGGATGAATTCGCTCAATGTATGATCAAACAACGCCACGGAATGGGATTTTCGGACAAACATGATCTTCTCTCGAGATTCATGGGAACAATCGATGATGACAAGTATCTCAGGGACATTGTCGTGAGTTTCCTATTGGCTGGTCGTGACACGGTCGCATCGGGGTTGACAAGTTTCTTCTGGTTGTTATCTCGACACCCGAAAGTCGAGTCGACCATTCGAGACGAGCTCGAAAGGGTCTTGTCGACGTCGTCGTCATCGACCGACGATGACCGACAATCGGTAACTTTCGATCAAATGAGACAAATGCATTACTTACACGCCGCGTTATGCGAAAGCTTGCGGCTGTTTCCTCCAGTCCAACTCGATTCCAAGTTCGCTCAAAACGACGACGTTTTACCGGATTATACCTTTGTAAGGAAAGGCACTAGGGTGACCTACCATCCATACGCAATGGGTCGGATGGAAAGGGTTTGGGGCTCCGATTGCCTTGAATTCATCCCAGAAAGGTGGCTGAAAACGGTAGATATATCCCTGAAAGCCCATACAAATACCCGGTTTTCCAAGCCGGGTTGAGGGTTTGTTTAGGGAAGGAAATGGCACTGGTAGAGATGAAATGTGTGGTTCTAGCCATAATCAGCCGGTTCAACATCCGGGTCGCCAGCCCATATCGAGCGCCGAGGTTTGTCCCGGGTCTCACCGCCACCGTGAGAGGCGGCTTACCAGTTCTAGTCCAAGAAAGGGGAGCTTAATTGTATACATGTACAGTTTATTTGCAAAGGTGTAGAAGTTAGATACAAATTGAACCGTTAAATTTAAAAACCGGGTTGGTTCACTATAGAATAGAGATATTTCTCGTATATTTTGATAAAATATAAGGAAGTTGACTTCTTTTCCTTTTTCCATACGTAAGTTACTTAAAATTTCCTTAAAAACTTTTTTTTAAATTAATAAAACAATTAACTTTATTAACTAAATAAAATATAATAAAATAACAATCCTAAAAGTAATATCTCTGAAAATTGAAATAAACTAATTATATTACTTTTTTTCGGTACAAAGGATTGAGAAAACGACATCGTTTTTCGGCTTACAATTTTAGGGTTTCATCTCCACGCTTACCTGCTTCTATCAGATGTCTCGTTTCTCGTGCCTCTTTCCTTCTTCAAATCATTCAAACAACTTGAAAAAAATATACAAACTAACATCGTAAACATTGAAAACTAAATATTGGTAGAGATCGAAATATTAGAATATTTAAGAAAAATTTAAAGATTTATTAGATATTTAATCTCAAAATTCAGCATGAATCAAGTGACCTTAGTGATTAAGAGACTGTAATTATCCTTGAGGTCTCGAGTTCGAGCACTGCGCATGTAGGGTATGAGCGTTCATTGTCAAATAGTTGAGTTTTTGTACAAATATTACCTTGTATTCACCATAGATTTATTTTTAAAAAAAACTCAAAGTTTGATAACACCTAATTTGTCTAATATTTAAACTAATTTATACAAGATAATACATAATTTGTCTAATATTTAAACTTACAATGACCTAAATTGTTATTAGACCAAAAATTTTTAGAACACGAGATTATCCTTCTTTAGTTCGTTCCTTACTTGATTAAATATTTAATAAATTCTTATATTTTTAATTTAAATATTTAATTTTAGATGAACTAAAATATTATTTGACCAAAATTATACCGAATATACAAATTTTATTAAGGGCGGCCCCCTGATCATAACTGATAAATGAAAAATAAACATCACTGATGATAACATAATAATACACATAACATACTAATACATTGGTAAAATTAATATAAAAATGCTTATAAATACTTTTCAATGTAAGAAAATTAATAAAAAAATTTAAATTAAAAATAAATTAATAATGTAATTAAAAAAATTGACGATGCATAATTTATTTAAAAAAACGTTATAAAATAATATTATACAACAAAGAGTAACATGGGCAACCGACCATGATTTAATGCACTTTCTTAGTTATTTTTTTTTAAATATTATAAATCATCTTGTTCTTTGTCAAGAGGTAACATGCATGCTTTACCGACACGTTCATTAAAATAAACATAATAACTACATTACTACAAGGGAAAAACGATACCCCAAAAGTTAAAATAATGAAAGAAATGCAAAATATTTCATGTATGTTGAGTTCAGGTAAAGGTTGTCATGTTTATTTAATTAGCTGATCAGTTAAAGACAAAGAATGTTAGTATAAGTGGTTGAGATTCAGAAATTTAAACATATAAAGTTAAGTTCGAATCCTATCATTGTTATTCTTGCTGGACAATATGTAAATTTCTATACAAATCCAAATTGGATTTTAGGTATGTCCTGGCCTGGACCGGAGGAGTCATTTTTACCTAAACATTTTTTATATAAAAAATAAAAATGTTTTAAATAAAATTTCGTTTGTGCAAGGTATGGCTCATAAATATACCGGTAAAGACCCCCGCGGTACGGTACAGGGTTAATTTTGTAATTATGTACCAGGGTTTTCTATTATAAATAAAGATGTAACCTAAACCTATGAGAATTGAATAAAATTTTCTAGCGCCGCCTAGACACCGAGGACGTAAGCACATTGCCGAATCTCGTTAAAATTCTTGTGTTCTTTCATTTACTTTGCCCGATTTATCAACCGTTTGTAAAAGATAATTAAATTTAAAATTTATTTTTTAATTAAATAAAAAAATTGTTTAATAGTATATTCTTCAATTTTCTTTTAAGATTCTTATTTTTTTAGGAGGGAAGTATTTGAATCACGTTTCAAATATTGATAAATTTACATATACATGTAAAAAAAATGTTTGAACATGGGGTATTTAAGATAAATATCATTCTTTTTATCATTGAAATCATTTTTTTAATTCAATCCTCAAATTAAAAAAAATAATTAAGCTCTAAATTTTTTTGTATCTGATTGAAATTTTATACATGAAAATTTTATTAATTCATATTTTTTATGGAAACTAATTATTAAATATAACAATTTTTTAGATCAATTGATGTCACATATCATATTATGGTATTGTTGAGTGATATTTTTATTAATTTTTAGATTTTTTTTTTAAATTTCAATAGCTTCTTTAAAATTTTTTCTTTAAAAATCTATCAATTTTTCTTTTAATTTGATAACTCAGAATAAAGTTTTCAATTTAATTAAACGAAAAAATTAAATGTTATATTAATTATTTTTTCAAAAATTAGAATACTTCATACCCCTTGAGCTTTTATTTTAGATGTATTCTAAATTTGATTTTTTTTTTTCAACCCATGTGCATAGGGGCCTTATTTTATTTTCTGCAAACTATGGCTTATTTATTTTTCCAAAATTGTTAGTACTGATTTATTATTATATTCCAAAGTCACGTCACAAGTGACGACTTCTTCACTCACATTCGATTTTAGCTTTATTATAAAATAAATATTTAAATTATATATTTATTTTAGGATAAATTACACGTTTAGTATTTAAAGTTTTGATCTATTTTAGCCCCTAAATTTTTAAATTTTTTTCAAAATTATATCTAAAGTTTAGTTTTTATTTTATTTTAGTACCAACCGTTAAAAGCTTTAGTTTTTGTTTCAATTTAGTATCCATTTAAAATTTAATTTTTGAAAAAACTAAAAGTTTAAGTACTAAAACATACCAAAACTGATAGTTTAGGTACTAAACACGCTAAATTTTTAACAGCGGGGTACTAAAATAAAATAAAAACTAAATGTTAGATATGATTTTGAAAAAATTTGAAAGTTTAAGATTAAATGTGTAGTTTATCCTTTTATTTATTTTAAATCTATTTATTATTAAAGTATATATTTAACATTTTATTACTTTAATTTTTTTAAGATCGATATATTATTCAGTTAAATTTATATTAGATTATAGGGTTTCTCAAACCAAAATAAAAAAAATAAAATCGATTTTTGAGAGTTGGAAGTTTGATTTAAATTTTGGATAGATAAATTTTTAAAATTAAAGTGTTTGAAAGTTATATCTTTAAGTTTTTTTAAAAAAATAATTAAAAAAATGAGAATAAAAAAGACATAGATCGAATTTAATGCTTATAGAAAACAAGACATTGATTTGAATAGAGGTTAAGATGACTAAGAATGTGTCATTTCTCAGCATACTTTTGTTGCCATTCTTCCTCACGAAGAGTTCGGGGTAGTTCTAATGTACGACAGTCTTAATATACGGTTAAAGAAATATTCTACTGGAAATGTTAATATTTTTTTAACATTTACGGTAAAACGCTACTTAAAACATTATTTTTTCACTGAAAATGTTAATTTCACTAACTAATTTATGGTAGAACCTAATATTAACATTTCCGGAAGAAAAATAATATTTTAGGTAACGCTTTACCATAAATGTTAAACATTTTGGGTAGCGCCCAATATTAACTATTTCGGTAGAAAAAAATAATGTTTTAAGTAGTGTTTTACCAGAAATGTTAAAAAATATTAACATTTCTGATAACATATTTTTTTAACCGTATATTAAGACTCGCTTCTAAAGTTTTCCTTAAAATACCTTGATACTTACTTGAAGGAAACCACATCATTCTCTCCACTTGGTTACAATACCTCAACACGATCGCTGTGAAAATCATGATCAGATAAATTTATTACTCGACTGTCGAATCTACTCACCTGTCAATCCATCAATAGTCATCAATCTTGGGATCGACACTAGCCACCCTGCTGCATGGTGCCACCAACTCTAGCATTAACATCAACCATCTTAGTATTTGGTGTCGGGAATATATTTGTCAATTCTAATACCTAAACAATAAAACAAAACGATGATTACAACTGATAACAATAATATTTATTATGTCTGCAATCATAATAATAAATATGACTAACCTTCAGTGGAAGCAAGTATCGAAGAGCCATGTACCTATATGGAAGCTGGCCATGTTGTCCATGACTCGAACCTTGCCGACAATGACCGGCTTTCCGTCATTGTTGATCCAAGGTTTCTTGGAGAAGTAACGGTAGCCGAAATCTTGGAGAGGGCGGTATGTGATTGGGTTTCTCATTGATGAAACCACATGATAAATGGTCTCCGATTGTTGATTCGAGGCATGGGCTACCATGGCAACAATCATCGCATTCAACACCATGTCAGCGGTATCTGCAAAATTCAGTTCATTTATCGAGTTCTTGTCACTTAACTGATGACATCAAATTCAATGAAAGATGACTGTTATAAAAGTTATTTTTCACATATATAAGAAAAATGGAGAATAGTTTCGAACTAACCAGGTCCACAACAGCGTCCAAATCTCCTAGGAAGAATGTCAATTTTCCCTTCGCATAACCAATCGCAAGACTATCATCGTTCTGTTTATATTCGACAATAAATTTAAGGTTTAAGATCGTAAATTAAAGTCTTTAAAAAGGCTTAGAATGAAGGATTGTAGGTTACCTGACACCTTCAGCCCAACCAGGGAATGGCTCTTTCAAAGTGCTGCTGATAATGGTAGGTCGTACGATGACAGCAGGCAAAGTCCCCTTGAACTCTCCCATCACCATTTCTCCCATTGCCTTCGTAAATACATATGTGTTTGGACATCCATAAAATCTTGCCCTGATTTCATGTTGTCATGAATTCTAGCATTTTAAGGTTTGATGTATCCTCATATGATTTATTATCCGAAAACAAATTTGAAGTTAATGACGCAAAACCTATACCTTTGAATACCCAAATCTTTCATGGATCGAGTAATTTCCTTGTCCGAAGCTCTTTGAACTCTCAGTTCATTCAATTTCTGTTCAATAATTTCCTTCTCGACATTAATATCTAGGCCCGAAACACCATTAAGTGTCTCTCCCATGCTGTAAGGATTTTCAAGTATAAGTCCTGACCTTTCCCCGACACATAAGCTGCAAAACCAAACATTAGTTGCATGAAAATGTGCACTTACAGAGTGGAGGATCAGTTAGTTGGATAAGAGATTTGCTTATAGGCGAAGAGACAACTATATGTGTGGACGGACCAGTGGATACATGAACCAGAACTTTTAGTTTGACACATTTCTTGGCGAAGTCCCCAACAAATTTAGCTCCAAATGTGTTGAGGCCAAGTGACACTCATGTCTACATAAAGAACAAAATCAATACATTAGAGATCGTGAGCCGAATTCCGTTAGTCCAATCTCAGTTTCGAGACACCGATAGTAAATTCAAATGTGTTACCTTTCATGAAAGTTGGTAGTTGCAGCAAGGTTAACTACAGCATCCACTTCATTGAACATCTCTTGCACCAAATTAGAATCTTTAATTCCCAAATCTTCATAGGAGATGTCTCCAGGGACCACTGTTAGTTTTTCTGATATGAATGAAGTGAAATTTTTCCTACACTTCTCTTTCAAAACTTTGAACAGATCCTTCCCTGTTATCTGTAAAACAGTTACATATGATTCGGATTGGAACGATGAGTGTCTGATATATCGTATATTAGATTTCTTTGAAAACTATGTGTACCCCATTGTGCAAACGGTGTGTTGCAGATTCATGATCCGCGGCTCGTAAAAGAAGATAGAGCTTCTTCACATTGGGTTGAACTCTTAGTATTTTCTCCACAAAAACTGCACAGTAAAATCCATTACAAAACATGCATACATGTCTTTAAAAAAATAAGTAAAAATGATGTTCTTACTCTTTGCCAAGAACCCAGCAGCACCAATCACTAAGATGGACTTGTTATCAAGAAATCGAAGAACACTCACTAATTCCATTGCAAACAATTAAGTGTTTAAAGTGAATCTGAATTAATACTCAGTTGCTTAATTTGAGATTCAAAGAAGCTCCAATGGCCTTTTATGATACACACGTAGGTGGTTGGGGGTCGCATGGAGCTGCCCCCTTTTATTTATTACTGATTTACATTCTCTATCGAGAAAGTGTCGGTCGGTGTTAAGAATGTGTCTCACCTCTTGCGTGACACGTATGTTAGTTTAGTCGATCTTGGTGACACATATATGTTGAAAACTTAACCTAAATGAGAAATTTGGGGCCCCTTTAACGACATTGTTAGTTAGAACGATGAATGCCTTTAAAAACCGAAAACTCGAATCTTTGGAGTATTTGTAAGAATTCGAAGAACTAATGTACTAATCGATGACACCCTCGTCTCGATTAGTTTGTTTTAATCGACACATTTTTATGTTTTAAATAGATAATGCTAAAATTTGTTTAAGTTATTAATTAAGGTTTAATTCTTAATTTGTTTAAGTTATCCTTTAATAATATGATTTTACCCCGCTTCGAACATGCCTATCAAACCATGTTAGCATATTCTTCATGCGAAAAATCAAGTCTTAGAACCATTTTGAACGCAATTTTTACTCCGATTACGATGTCTCGTATGTGTTGATATTACTCTCAATCAAAAAATAAGTTACAATACTACACCTCTAATTTTATAAATTATGCAATTTTTTTAGATTAACTAAGGAAAAACCCCTCGAATATGCCTACCAAACCAATTTAGAATTTCCTTTATGCACAAAACAAGCTTTGAAACTATTTTCAACCCGATTTTTAACTCGCTTATAGTATCTCATATGTCTTTATATTAGCCTCAACTGAAAGATAAATTCGAACACTATGTTTCTAATCTTATAAATTATCAAAATCTTGAGATTAAATACCCGAACATGCCCAACAACACTTATGATTTGTGCTGAAAAACAACATACCTCACTCATTGGAAAACGTGAGGTATCTTGAATACCACTCTTAATAAATTTCTTTGGATAGTTTAATATCTCAGTAATCTCGTTTTACGCAAAATGCGATGTATTAAATATCAATATTAAATTACATTCTCTGAAAAGTTCATCCACGTTGGATGTTCCTCGTGCCGTGTAGAAAGTGAGAACTTAATGCGTGTTTCGTGGGATGTGAGTTAGTCCTACATGTGTACTTTGAGGGTATTTTTCTAACAAATATGTTAAGGAAGATGTTTTTAGAAAAAAATAATTAATGGGGGTTTTAATATAATAACCCCTAATGTTTTATTCCATAACTATTCCAAAGCTACGTCACAAGTGACAACTTACCATTGATGAATTCTTTAATCATGTAACTTTTTATTTATTTATTTTAGGTTTTTCAAATCAAAATTAATTTTTAAAAGTCGGATATTTAATTTTATTTTTGAATAGATGAAATTTTAAGATCAAATTGTTATAGAATTATAATTTCTTGAAAAAATATTTAATAAAAATGAATGGGCATAAATCAAATTTGATGTTGATGGTGAACGAGATAGTGATCTGAATGAAGATCAAAATGACTATGGAAAGTGATTTAACATCTCCAAAATTGAAAGAAGAAAAGAAAAAGTGAGAAAATAACATCTCGAAGAAGAAAGTAAGATGGAAGGTCACATGTCAAGTATTTATTGGGTAATAACATTTTTAGTGAACATATTAAATTTAAAACGATTAACGAATAAAATGTTAGATACATATTTTGACAAAAAAAATTAAGCACATAAAAAATGTTGGGTAATCTATGTCAAATACCATTCATCTTTAAGCTCGGGCTCGAAAATACCATCGACATTTTAATTTTGTCAATTTTAGCACGGACGTTTATGTTTCACTGCAATTTTGCCACTCCACCGTTAATTCGTTAACGGGACGATGACATGACATCTTTTTTCCGTGACGACGATGATATGGCACCCTCATCAAAACGACGTCGTTTTGGCACGACCGTTTTGATGCTCAAAAAGCTCAAAACAACGTCGTTTTGTTGATGAAAAATATGCTTTTCACAAGATTTGAACCGTAAACCTTTAGAATCCAAATTTAAATACCTAACCACCAAACTAACTTGAGAACTTATTATAACCTTAACAAAACTATTATAAATATGGTTCTTCATGTGAAAAAATTTATGATTACTAGTTGTTTAGTCGATTTTTGGGATTGAAGTCTGGTTTTTTAATCCACAGATACCCGAAGACCTTCATTTTGTGCTGAGAATGAGGCATACCTTTGAATCTCTTGGATACCAATCTGGTTTCTGTCTGTCTCAGTTGATTTCATTGAACAGAAATGGTTCGTCTCTATCGACTATTCCTTCGAAGCAGTCCACCGTTCCAATGCTGCCACCTCCTCCGCTCTTCAATTGGAGCCAGTAGCCACTTCCGACAGCAACTAATCCGACGGTTGCTTCGCCTAATTTTCAGAACCCGGTTAGACTTGGATTTCAGCAACCCAAAGACGAAACCCACATGTTCCTACTGCCACGTTCGTCCGAAACCTGAATGGAAGACATGATGGTTGAGCATGAAAACGACATCAAATGGCCTAATGGCTTGAGTTTCTTCAGTGCTCTCACCGGACGAACCGAAGACGCCAAGCTTTTATTCAACTCTGAGAGCTTAGGGAACAAACCAGAAACAAAACATCACCCGCTTATACTTGAAGGAAAATACTCGAATCAAAATTCAGATAGCTTGGATAGTCATCCGGAGAATACGAGGAAGATGGATAAGTTAAAGAACTTTCCGATACCCGCAAGGATGGCAACGTCTTCATCGTCGACTTCAGTTGAGCATCATCAGCACCAACCCGGGGAGTATAGGAACTCCGAGCCCGGGATGTACACGGATGTCATGGAAACGTTCTTGGAATGAAATGCAGAAGGTTTATGGTTTGTTTGTTTGATTTTTTCACATGAAGATAATGAGGGTGACGGTGGTAGCGATGCAATTTATAATAGTTTTGTTAAGGTTATATTAAGTTCTTAAGTTAGTTTGGTGGTTGGGTATTTAAATTTGGATTCTAAAGGTTTACGGTTTGAATCTCATCAAAAACATATTTTTCATTAACAAAACGACGTCGTTTTGAGCTTTTTGAGCATCAAAACGGTCGTGCCAAAACGACGTCGTTTTGATGAGAGTGTCATGTCATCGCCGTCACGAAAAAAGATGGCATGTCATCGTCCCGTTAACGGATTAACGGCGGAGTGGCAAAATTGCAGTGAAACATAAACGTCTATGTTAAAATTGGCAAAATTAAAATGTCGATGACATTTTCGAGCCCGAACTTAAAGATGAGTGGTATTTGACATAGATTACCCAAAAATATTTTAGGCACTTATTTTACAATTAAGTCTTTTTTTTACTCGAAGAGATAACTTGATATAATTATGCTCTCACACCCTTACTCTTCACACATTTTAAAATTTTAGTCACTTTTATTTTAATTCTAAGAATTTAATCTTTCTAGCCTTTTTATTTAAGGGTAAAGTCCACATATGATCCACCGATTATAGGACACTACTTTGTTGAGTACTCCGACTATCAAAAGTTACAAAATGGTCCTCCGACTATAGGACTTTGCTTCGTGAGTCTCTCGACTATTAAAGTTACAAAATAATCACCTGACTATTCATTATGTTCCAAACTTTTCCTTTTCATTAAAACATTGACGGTAGTTTTAACTGGATGTTAATCTGTTGTCTTAGATATGATAATCGATTGAGATTTTGGGAACACATTTTACCAAATCTCAAATAACATATTAATATATAGCTTAGACTGTCATCAAATTTTTAATGGAAAAAGACGAATTTGGAACGTAATGAATAGTCGGGTGACTATTTTATAACATTTAATAGTCGAGGGACTCAACGAAGCAAAGTCCTATATAACTTTGATAGTTGGGGGACTAAAAAAACAACACCCTTTAACCTGGGGACCGGTTGTGTATTTTACCCTTTATTTAATAATTCAAATCCAATTGATAACAATCTTACTAGACTTCCATCATATTAGATTATACGATTTTTTTTTCTTTCAAAATTGCTCACATGATTTAAAACCACATGAAGGCTATGGAAACAAAAATATAAAGTATCGACTTCCATCCTACCTGTGTGAGAAGAACCTTATAAATTCATATTCAAAATTGAAAACCTTACAACCTCACCTTCAACATTATTATTTACTTATTTGTATAGTCTCGAAATAGATGATTGAAATTTATTTGACTACTTGATTGTTTGATTTAATTCTAAGTTGACCTTAATAAAGTTTCGATAAATCAATGTGATATTTTCGGCTCGATTTCATAGATTAAGTTCAACAATAGTCAGAATATCAAACTATGACAAAGGACTATTACATAGGATGGATTTAAACCTCAATACATGATTTTATTCAAACTTCAACATATATTCTTCAAACTTTTATGGACAGCTATATATGATTTTATGCTGTCATGAACAACAATGACACATAAATAAAACCATGAATTTCACAACGCTACGTAGAATTAAATAGTGATTCGATTCGGTTCGGCTCGGCTCGGCTCTTTTCTTTCATTTGGAAATGTATTTTACGATGCCAGGAATATGATTGCTCATGAAGTAATGGTCCCAGTCGATGCTTTTGGGATCGAAGTAGAACATATCATTCTCTACGAGGCTCGATCTTGCCTCTGTTCGTAATTTCTCGGTGTTTATGTCGTCAAATCTGTGATTATCTCTTGTTTGTTTTAAGACTCGAAAATACGATTATGTTTTGAGACTCAATATAAAAAAATTAGGCGAGTATATATACGTACATGGCATGTAAGAACGAGTAGGGACTATAAATGTCGACTAATCGCATCGCGAAGTCGATCTTCCTCTTGAGATTAGTGTAAACACCTTGAAAGAAATGACAAAAAACTATATTTGCCAATTCCAATGCCTAAACAATAAAACAAACAATGAGCGCAATCAATAATAATAACATCTATTACGTCTGCAATGATAAGTATGTCTAACCTTCAGCGGAAGCGAGTATCGAAGAGCCATGTATCTATGGAAGCCCGCCATGGTGTCCATGACTCCATTGTTGTCGATCCAAGGTTTCTTGGAGAAGTAACGGTAGCCGAAATCTAAGAGAGAGCGATATATGATTGGTTTTCTCATTGATGAACCCACATGATAAATGGTCTCCGATCGTTGGTTCGAGGCATGGGCTACCATGGCTACAACCATCGCATTCACCACCATGTCAGCCGGTATCTGCAAAATTCAATTCATTGTTACTTGACCGATGACGTCAAATTCAATTCACCACCATGAAGAGTATCGAACTCACCAGGTCAACAACAGCGTCCACATCTCCGAGGAAGAATGTCAATTTACCCTTAGCATAACCAATGATAAGACTATCGATCGTTCTGTTTATAATCGAGAAGAAAAAAATTCAAGATTTAAGATCGTAACTAAAAATCTTTTGAAAGGGTTTAGAATGAAGGATTGTAGGTTACCTAACACCTTCAGCCCACCCAGGGAATGGCTCTTTCAAAGTGCTGGTGATAATTGTAGGTCGTATGATGACAGCAGGCAAAGTCCCCTTCAACTCTCCTACCATCATTTCTCCCATTGCCTTCGTAAATACATATGTGTTTGGCCATCCATAAAATCTTGCCCTGATTTTATGTTGTCATGAATTCTATCATTTTAAAATTTTATGTATTCTCATATATATTCTTATAATATACTATCCAAAACCAATTTCATGTTAATGACACAAAACTTATACCTTTGAATGCCCAAATCTTTCATGGATTGAGTAATTTCCTTGTCCGAAGCTCTTGAACTCTGAGTTCATTCAATTTATGTTCAATAATTTCCTTCTCGACGTTAATATCTAAGCCCGAGACACCATTAAGTGTCTCTCCCATGCTGTAAGAATTTTCAACTATAAGTCCTGTCCTTTCCCCAGACACATGCTGCAAAACCAAACATTAGTTGTATGAAAATGTGCTTTAACTCGAATTCAAAGTGACACAAATTAATTGAACACAAGTATGTTCTCTCTGAAATCCTCTTATATTTTCTTCCTTCATATAGTGAATTTTTTTTTTGTCCGTTATTTCTCCCTTTTGGGTTTTCAAGAAAATCTTTATGTTCTTTGTTTTTCTTTTTTGATTATGTTTATTTGTTTGTCGATAATCGTTCTGATATTATAATAAATTTGTACCAGAATTTCGAGTTCAATATTATGGCAATAATAAAGTAAGATATTCTGCTATTGAATTAAAACTCTAGCTTCTCATTATGATAGGTGAATATTCGGAATGTCCTTGTATAGTTGCACTTAGAGCGGAGGATCAGTTAGTTGGATGAGAGATTTACTTAATAGGCGAAGAGAAAACTAAATGTGTAGAATGACCTGTGGACACATGAACCAAAACTTTTAGTTTGACACATTTCTTGGCAAAGTCTGCAACAAATTTAACTCCAAATGTGTTGTGGCCAAGTGACACATATATCTACAAATAGAACAAAATCGATACATTAGAGATCGTGACCCGAATTCTGTTAGTCCAATATTAGTTTCGAGACATAATAGTAAATTCAAATGTGTTACCTTTCATAAAAGTTGGTTGTTGCAGCTAGGTTAACCACAATATCCACTTCATTGAACATCTCTTGTACCAAATTAGAATCTTTAATCCCCAAGTCTTCACAGGAGATGTCTCCAGGGACCACTGTTATTTTTCCTGACATGAATGAAGCGAAATTTTCCCCACATTTCTCTTTCAAAACTTTGAACAGATCCTTCCCTATTATCTGTAAAACAATTACATATGATTCGGATTCGAACGATGAGTGTCTGATATATCGTATATTCGATCTCTTTGAAAACTATGTGTACCTCATTGTGCAAACGGCGTGTTGCAGATTCATGACCCGCGGCTCGTAAAAGAAGATAGAGCTTCTTCACATTGGGTTGAACTCTTAGTATTTTCTCCACAAAACTGCACAGTAAAATTCATTACAAAACATGCATACGTGTCCTGAAAAAAGCAAGTAAAGATGATGTTGTTACTCTTTGCCAAAAACCCAGCAGCACCGGTGACTATGATGGACTTGTTGTCAAGAAACTGAAGAAGACTCCCTAATTCCATTGCAAACATTGGAGTGAGGCTAGAATAACACTCTGTTGCTTTAAGCTTCAAAGAAGCTCCAATGGCCTTTTATGATACACACGTAGGTGGTTGGGAGTTGCATAGGGTTGCCCATTTCGTGATGAATTATTAATTATAGCAGTGAGTATTCGTTAGGTTGACCACTGTTGTTTTGAAATTCATTATTCTCAATAACATATAAGAAAGAAATACTTAGTAAAAAGATGTAAGGTCAATCTCCAGGAACTTAAAAAAATCTCAAATTTCGGATTGAATTTGCTTTGACCAGGCGATATGCCGAAAATAAAATGAGGGTTTGATAAAAAGAATTAAATAATAAAAAGTAATTTAAAGTGAAAATAAAGAAAATAAAAAATGTAAAATTGAGAATAAATATGGTAAAAAGCAACTTCAAGCCCCGCTTTAACTCAATTCGTTTCTGATCATCGAAAATGAATTTTCACTTTAGGATTCACGCCGGTTATAGTCTACAAGGCATTATCCTTGTAACTTGCTTTTCACTTTATTAATTGATTTCCCCAAAGCCAATATTTGGAAATCCAACTTTTAATTGAACCAAAAATGACAATCGTCGTTAGTGCAAAAATAATTTAGGTTTAAAAAAAGTCCGACTCGGATTATGTTGTCTCTTTGAGAATTGAACTTGATCTCAATTTCCCTTAGTGGACCGCCGCTAAGTGTGTTCATAGGAAGACGAATTTGC